AATCTCTTAAATCAAAATCTACAAAAATACTAAGACCCCAAAAAAGTAACTCGGGAGTTCTGTTCAACGATACTCTTTTAAATTTCGGGCTCAGGGGATCCAAATAGCGAATTCTCTAGGAAATTACCTTTTATTTAACTCTATCAAGACGTACTTAATTACATGATATATGTACCCTAGAATAGGCATGATGATTATGCATCAGGCATCTTAGGCTTGAGCGAGAGCATTCACAAATTCCGGCATTTTTAGGCCGAATTCAAAGTCTACATAATATGTGACGTCAAAAGCCTGAAGCGCACTAAACATCTCTCTTAACTGAACTGCAAAGTGCAATCTATGTAATGTGATTAATTCAAATTTTGTAATGTGAGCTATCTATTCTAAACCCAATCCGTTTCAATCGGTCACTGACACCGCACAATGAGTCAGGGACACAACAATAGAAAAAGACTCTAGACAGTAGACTCCAGTCCAGAACAGGCCTGGTCCAGAGACTGCACAGACCAGAGTTGCCACTTGCCAGGACCAGATGGGTTGCCAACTACCTGGAATAAAAAAAAAAACTTGAAAATTTCATGAATCACATGAAAATCTCAGAACAATCGATGTGTATAAATTCTAGATATAAGATGTAATATAAGTTTTTTTTCGGAGTTTTTTTTTCAAGTTTTTTTCAAATTTTTTCTGATAAAAAATAAAGAAAAGAAGAAAAACATCTAAAAATCCTTAAGTAAAAAAACTCACCCAAGAGGACTAAAAGACACAAAAAGCCAAGAAAACACCATTGTGGCTACCCTGAGCGATAAGGAGAAATGTTATTCTGTTACCGGAGATACGGCCAGCCTTCCTATTGGTCCCTGCATTTCAAACTAACAATCCTAATGAATCACATGAATATCTCAGAACAATCGATGTGTATAAATTCTAGATATAAGACGTAATATAAGGTTTTTTTTCGGAGTTATTTTTCAAGTTTTTTTCAAATTTTTTCTGATAAAAAAAATAAAGAAAAGAAGAAAAACATCTAAAAATCCTTAAGTAAAAAAACTCACCCAAGAGGACTAAAAGACACAAAAAGCCGAGAAAACACCAATGTGGCTACCCTGAGCGATAAGGAGAAATGTTATTCTGTTACCGGAGATACGGCCAGCCTTCCTATTGGTCCCTGCATTTCAAACTAACAATCCTATTGGTCCCTCAATCCTATCCCGTATGAGTCAGAATCAAACGAAAACTCACCGAAGGATTTGGATCCAATTCCAAAAACATTCAACACTATAAAGCTGGAATTTTACTTTTTAGGGTTTGTCAGAAATATAAGCATTTTATCATATTTTTTTCTCTTCTTTCAGGTTTCACGGTCCACGGATAACGAGAATTAAATTATGGAATCTGCTTGCAAACATTGCACTTTTTATTAGATATACTATATATATACTAGGCTTTTTAAAAGAAAATCCTTCGCTTTTGTAACATGCACGCAGGGGCGTAGTGGGGGCCGGTACCCCTGTACCCCCTTAGACGCGTGCACTCC